TTAGGGAGCCACTGATCTAGACCCTTGCCTCTCAAAGCATGGCCCTGGCCTGTAATCCCAGCACTTTGGGAGACTGAGGCGAGTGGATTGCCTGAGTCCACAGGTTCGGGACCAGCCCGAGCAACTTGGTGAGACCTTGTCTCTACAATAAATCAAAAAATTAGCCGGGCATGGTAGTGCATGCCTGTAGTTCTGGCTACTTGGAAGATCTAAGTGGAAGGATCGCCAGAGCCCAACAGGTCGATGCTGGGGTGGCCGTGAGCATGCCACTGCACTCCAGCCTGGGCGATGGAGTGAGACTCTGACTCAAAAAAACAAGAGCATGGCCCAGGCACCAGCAGCCTTGGCACCTTGGAAGCTACTTAGATGCTCAGTGCCACCCTAAGCAAGACAGATTCAGAATCTTCCCTTAATAAGGTCCCCAAGCAATTTGTATGCACATTGAAGACTGAGTAGTGCCCGTTTATTGGACTTTTTCATGTTGATGAGCAGAGGCCTGGCAGTCAGGATCCCTGGGCTTCAGTTCTGGATCAATGACTAACTCCCTAGTGACCTCACACATTCAACCATAACAGGAAAACTGTGCCAAATCATAGCCAAAGGCTCCTCTTAGAACCCTCATTAAAAGTGGGGGTATTTGGGCCGGGCGCAGTGGCTCAAGCCTACAATCCCAGCACTTTGGGAGGCTGAGGCGAGAGGACTGCCTAAGCCCAGGGGTTTGAGACCAACCTGGGCAACATGGCAAGACCACTTCTCCACAATAAATAAAAAAATTAGCCGAGGGTGGTAGAGCACTCCTGTAGTTCCTAGTTCTAGCTACTTGAAAGGCTGAGGCAGAAGGATAGCCTGAACCCAGTAGGTTGAGGTTGTGGTGGCCGTGAGTGTGCCACTGCCCTCCAGCCTGGGTGACAGAGTGAGACTTCACTCAAAAAAAAAAAAAGGTGGGGATATTTGGTCTGCAGGAAGTGTGTGCCATATCTGTGGGACTTGGTTCCTGGCTTTTCTCTTGTAGATGGCTGGGCTTTTAGGAACAACGTGGACATCAGGACTCACCAGAGCCTCCAAGACCGCCTGCGGGCGGCCCACCTGCTGCTGGCCAGGAGCCCTCAGTGCCCTGTGGTGGTGGATACAATGCAGAACCACAGCTGTCAGCTCTATGCAGCGCTGCCTGAGCGGCTCTATGTACTCCAGGAGGGCAGGATCCTCTACAAGGTGATGACCCGGGGGCAGAAAGCAGGAAGGGCCCAGGGAGGGCAAGGGCAAAGAGAGGGCTTTGTATCAAGCAGACCCGGATTCTAACCACTGCCCAGCCACTTACCTGCCATGTGACTCCAGGTGAGTTCTTTCACCTCTTGGAGCTTCAGTTTCCTCTTCTGCAAAATGGGAATGTTGGTTTCTACCTCGTGGGGAATGAAATAATGCACCTGAAAGTTTCCAGCATTTGGGCTGGAGCAGCATCCTTGTGGCTGCCCTCTGAACCCAGATACCTGGACCAGTCCTGGATCAGTTTTAAGCTGCGGGATGGAGAATGTTGTTTTCATTTGATAAACAGTGATCAGAGAGGGGAACTGACTTGTTCAAGGTCACACTGCACACAACTCTGATTTCAATTCTAAATCCCCCAATGGGGTGTGCCAGAAGCTGCCAATCTCCAAGGCAGGCCTGAACTGGGGCAGGGGAGGAGAATGGAAGATGCCCAAAGAGAAAAGACTCTGTGGTCTGGAGCTGGACATGCTGAAGGAGGGACGTGAGGCAGAGATTGAGTCCAGGTTTCATTTCTTTCTTTTTTTTTTTTTTTGAGTTGAAGTCTCACTCCATTGCCCAGGCAGGAGTGCAGTGGCATACTCACAACCACAGCCACCCCAGCATCAACCTGCGGGGCTCCGGCGATCCTTCTGCCTCAGCTTCCAAGTAGCCAGACCTCCAGGCACGTGCTACCACACTTGGCTAACTTTTTTTTTTTTTGAGTTGGAGTCTCACTCTGTCACCCAGACTGGAGTGCAGTGG